CTAAACTCTAAACCCTAAACCTCACAAACCCGATACCCTAACCCCCCCCCCGCTCCCTCCCAGGCCTACGCCGCTGCTGTGTCGTCAGCGTCCGAGAAGTTCTGGAAGCTGTCGGCGCTGCAGCCGACCTGGAACTTCTCGCACCTGACCCCGATTTTAAGCTGCCAGGATGAGTGGCCCAGGGACTCTTGGCTTATAGCATATTATAATAGACTATAGTATATTATGGTATATTATAGTATCCCTATAACCCACAAAGGGTTTGGGGCTGATATAGGGTTTAGGGTTTAGGTTCTCAGAGGTCAGCGAGTATCGCAAGTGAACCTGAACCTAAGCTCACAAGCCTGAACCTCAGATGAACCACCCTACAAAGCCCAACGCCCTTAAACTCAACACAATGCTCGCATGCGCACCTTCTATAGAGGTTCTGGAACTTCAGGTTTGTGGGGGCAATGATTCAGCGACAATCCATACAACTGGGGTGGGAGTCGCCCACATTGCATCAAAAGCGGTAAGCTGACAATGTAACAGCCCGAAAAACTGCGAAAACTATTCTCCTAGACTTAAGACTGGTGTACAATTACATTATCATCTACCCCCAAGCCTATTCTAATCTACGATGCAGTCCCTTTCAACCCCTATCTAGCCCAGTTTTCATGTCACGTTCCATGATTCGGAGTCCTGCTTCCAAAATGGCCATTATGGCGGCTAATGTCCTTCAACCCTAAACCCTAAACATTGCTTACCCTAAGGGTCCGAGGACCCAAATAATAGAGCTTTAGGGCCCAAATACTTCAATATTAATGGTATTTGGGCCCTAAAACCCTACTATCGGGGTCCTTGGACCCTAAACCCTCAACCCCATATATCCCCTATAAACCCCTTTTAAAGGGACCCTATTATTTGGGTCCTAAAGCCCTACTATTACCCTTAGGGTTATAGACCTGTAGGATCCCCAAATACTTTTCGCAAAGGACCTCTAGATCGACCCCCTATGCTTTGTCCATGTCCTGGGTTGCTGTTAAGGAACTTAAATCAAGTTACTATATTGGGGAAACCCTATTATTTGCTAAATACCCATTATGGTAACTGAATTTAAGTTCCTTAACAGCAACCCAGTTTCGTTCTGCGTTATTCCTACCAAGCCCTTACACTAGCCACTAACCGGGTTTAGGGTATAGAGTTCAGAGTTTAGGGGCTTTGAGTTCATGTTCCAGTTGTTCAGGCTTTTTTCCCCAACAACCTTTACTTTAGAAAAAATAGTAGCTACCACTCTCCTTTTCATCTGGACCCCTACGTTCGTCGTCCATTTAGCCTTTGTAGCAGTCCTCTACTGAATCCCAGAAACCTAGCTTCGATGTCATTTTCCATGTAGTTTTCCATTTCAGGGGTCAGGGTTAGCAAGAACCTCTTATTTCATGCTAGAAGCTCCTGTAAGACCCTGTTTCCAGCTCATGTTCCACCCTAAACCCTAAACCCTAAACCCTTCTCTACCATCTCCCCGAGCGCCGCACCCTGAATAAAAGAGTCCCAAACCCCGAGCCTTGAGCCCTGAATAACTAGGGTTTAGGGTTTAGGGTTTAGCCTTTATGGTTGTTATTTTGGGTTTAGGGCTGTTGTTTTACGTACTTTTGGGGTTTAGGTAGTAAGTGTCATCCTTTAGGGCCATGTAAGAGCCATAGTTGTCCCATTTCATATCCTAGCTACTAAGTCTCCCTGACTCTAAACCCTACACCCTGAACCCTAAACCCTACACCCTAATCCCTACAACCGGGTTGCTGTTAAGGAACTGAAATTAAGTTACTGTACTGGGGAAACCCTTTTATTTACCATATATATCCATTATGGTAACTTAATTTAAGTTCCTTAACAGCAACCCAGACAACCCATGTAGTATCCTCCACTTCTCTACTATGCAAGTAAGGACTCCTTGCCAGTGGTTCTGGCCTGCAGCGACCAAGCCCCTCTGGTGGTAGTCTCCGAGTCCATGCAGCGATTGAACCTCGGGATTAAGGGGTTTAGGCTGTTAGGGGTTGAGGTGATTAAGGGGTTGAGGGTGTTAGGGGTTGAGGGGATTAATGGGTTTAGGGTGTTAGGGGTTGAGGGGATTAAGGGGGTTCAGGGTGTTAGGGGTTAAGGGGATTAATGGGTTTAGGGTGTAAGGGGTTGAGGGGATTCTGGGTTTAGGGTGTTAGGGGTTGAACGGGTTCAAGGGTTTGGGGTTTGATGGGGGTTTGTCTGCTAGGGCACGAGGTCTAGGCGTTTAGTTTAGGGTGTTAAGGGTCAGGATGCAGGCATTTTAGGGTCTAAGGGTTGGCCTACAGGGGCATGGGATCCATGGCTTTGGGTCTAGGGCTTTTGGTCAAGGGATTGGCATTGTGGCGAGGTTGCCGAATGAGCGAGCCCTTTTAGAACCCTAGGGATCAATGGGTTTTACAAGGGGACTATGGGCGCCCATGAAGGATTCTCACATGGGTCCACATTTGGGAGCAACCCTAGACCTTAAACCCTAAACCCTAAACCCTGAACCCTACTAAAACCATAGAAACACCTGAAGAAGACTCCGAAGGCAAGTTATAGCCATACAGAAGGATACCTAACACGGTGGCAAAGGTGCTGTAAGAGACACCAACACTCCAAAAATCAAAAAAAACCTTAGACTTCACATCCCTACCGCACCCTCAAGCCCTAGATTATGATCTGTGTAGTTTCCATGTTTTTCATGCCTGCTGCCGCTAGCAAGCCTCAAACTCATACTCCCAACCCCAAACCCTAAACCCAAAATAGCAGTTTCCATTTTCTTTTCCATTATCCCGATATATTCCCAGTATAACCATTTAACCCTTTTAAAGGTATCCCTAATTTTGGGGAAAACGAGCTCAGGCACCATCTGATGGCTGGCTCTCGTCTGGAATTCATCTCGTCCTCGAAGTGGTCCTGGCACTTGGAGCGCGCAAGAGGGTTTAGGGTTTAGGGGTTTAGGGTTTAGGTTTCAGATGTTTGTAGGGATTAAGGGTTTTGACCGGGACTGTCTCATAAAGTTACTCTTGGCGCTTGCTATACAAAGGTACCGCGTTGAAGAGTCTAGCTAGGGGTTCTGGGTTTGCTGTTTCAGGATTCGTGTTTGGAGGTCTGGGAGTGCGGAGTTATTTGATCTCCCCAGCCGCTGAGAATGACCATCAGGGAAGAATGGTGACTGTAGTGGGATCCGTCTATAACTCTTTCCATGATGCCCTCCTGCTCATGACTGTGAGGATAACCCTGTAGACTTGATAAGGCTGGGGAAGCGAGTGGAAGAGGCAACAAGGCTCCAAGCGCCTTACGGCTACATAACCAAGTCGAACTTGCAACAATGTCATGCTGATCTTTGAAGGGAATGCTTCCCCTAAACCCTAAGCCCTAAATTTGAGGGGAATGGTTCCGACTGGGTTAGTGAAAGTGTTCAATCAGTTTTCTCAAGCCATATGTATTGCCAGATACCGCATAGACCCCAGCATCCCTACAGTGTACACCTTGTTTTAGTGTCATCCCCAAATAGTGACTGGCCCTAAAGCCTAAAGCCTAAACCCTAAACCCTAAATCCTTAAACCCTAAACCCTAAACCCCTACCCCCCCAAACTTTAAGCGTGGCTGAAGGCACCTGGAGGGAGAGGACATCTGGGACGAGGTCGCCGTGATGCTGCAGACTTTGCTCCCAATTGGAGTTCCAGCTTCTGGATCAATCTTACACCCCCCAAGTACCCTAAAATAGGGTCTATGTAGCTTCTGTTTGGGGATACTTAGGGTCTATAGAGGGTACCTGGGGGGTCTAGGACGGGGTCGGAGTTTAGGGTTTATGCTTTCGGGTTGTGGGAGTGTAGGGTTTAGGGTTGGGGGTTGAGGGCGAAGGATGACGCGGAACAATATAGTAGCTTCCATTTCTTGTTCTTTTCATTGCTCCACTATCAACCTACTTGCTCAGTTTCCAAGAAGGGCCTTAATTCACCCTGAACCCTAAACCCTAAGCCCTAAACCCTAAATCCTAAGCCCTAAACCCTAAATCCTCTACTTAGGAATTTATTTGGATGCCTCGGTCACCGAAGGTTTGGAGCCTTCCTGGTGCTGCAACCCCCGACTCCCTACAATAGAAGCCAGATTTAGGGTTCAGGTTTAGGGTTTAGGGTTGAGGGCTTAGGGTTTAGGGCTTAGGGTTTAGGGCTTAGGGTTTTGGGGTCTAGGGTGTAGGGAGAAGCAGACGTTTGAACACCGTATCCCGCTTTCTCCCCCCTGTATAAGCACCCCCCAGACCCAGAAAAAGGCTTAAGGTGTAGGGTCTAGGGTTGGGGAAATTACCATAGTTTGTCCGATGCCCATCTTCCAGCGTATCTGTGTCGAGGTTAAAGAACACATAAAGTATTAAAAAAAGGAAGCCACATTCTTGAGTATGTACCCATCTTATGCTAACCTTCAACCCTAAACCCTATATACCCATGTTATGGTAACTTAGTTGAAGTTCCTTATCAGCAACGCAGCTATGGTGAACCGAGTGCTGCTCTCCTCAGGTTCAGTCCAGCCCCAAGCACATTTTTGCGCTTGAAGAGCAACGACAGGTGGGGGGCTCTCAAACTAGGGAGTCCATTCAGTCCGCCCAGTATGAAAAAGATGATGGTTTCAAGGTTTCAGGGCGTTTTATGGCATAGGCCCTAAACTCTAAACCCCGTAAGCCTGAACCCTAAACTGCGTCAGTTTTTAGGCTGCGGTTTCCCGAAGTCAAACATACCCTTCAACACAACCCGCTGGGGAGAAGCGGATTGTTTAGGTCCTTGTTGGGATTCACAGCATGTAGACTTGTATATCTGAAACCCTAAACCCTTAAATACCGAAACCTAAACTCACTAGCAGGTCTTTGTTGGGTTAGGCCCCCACTCACTACTAGCGGTATACTAGGAATATATAGAGGCCCCAACATAATTACCATTATTTGTTGTGGTCACTATTAGTGGGTGGGGGCTCACCCTAAACCCTAAACCCAACTTAAGGTCTATGTCATCGAGCCAGAATCATCTCCTTCTGCCCAAGTTCTCTACCTGGGTCTGCCGCGATGCTGGGGCGCACTTGTCCAGACATCTTAAAGGTTAATACTGGTTGCTGATAAGGCTTTTAGATTAAGTTTTATAACATGGGTATATGGGGTTGAGGTTTTAGGGTTACCATAATATGGGCACATAGTAGATAATCGGGCTTCCTTATCATAGCACGTCGGCTTAAGGTCCTGAACAGCAAGTCAGTATAACAAAACACCCCACCCCCATATACACCCCGTGGTATTAGAGATTCCCCATAATATGTATATATATATATGTATATACATATATTTATATCATTTTATACCTATATATGTACTACAGCATAATGAATATTCAATATTAGGGGTAGGGTCGAGGGAGGGGGGGGCGGCTTGATGTTAGGAGGACAGGGTCAATTTCATATCAGGGCTACTGCTACATATTCACTTACGTCGAACCATCGAGTGCTAGCTGAGCCAGAAGTTCCAGTTCCTGAAACCTTTAGGGGGTCTGGTTGGAAATCCGGTTTCCAATGACAATTTGCTCAAGACCTTGAGACCTAAGGACCTAAGACCTTGCTTGTACAGATGTCAATGTGGTAGTTCTCAGAAATAGGGGGCTGCAAAATCGACCTCATGAGTTAATTGTCCGTATTATTGGGACCCCCAAAACCCCTAAGCCCTATAGTCAGCCTTAAGTAGATAGAATATGGGGTATATGGGGGATCTTATTATAATATACCCAAAGCCACATTATATCTACTTAAAGGGGACTATAAACCCTAAACCGCGAATTTCCGGGAAACCCACATGGCTGGAGCTCCCCAGCGCAATCAAGGATTCATCCCCTTTGCACTGCAACTGCCAGCGCTGGAGCACTGGGCCCGCGTACTGCGCGTGAAGATATGGGCCATCACGGAAGACAGCATAGATGCAGAGACTTGTCCAAGGAGGGTGGGTGAAAGGTTTAAGGACCAGAGTTTGGGGTTCAGGGATACTACCCTTACCATGGAGCATCAAATGGAAAAAAGAATGGACAATGACATGGACACCAGAGGTATAGAGGGACCAAGCAGGATGAGTCTAGGTTATGTATTGAGTCCACCCAGTGACTGTTGGAATAGGGCCATATTGAGCGCTTTCTACTCATAATGTAGATGAGGCATCCATCTGTTGTTTTACTGGGTGGGTTCAGTATTCAAAGTCCAGGGTTCAGAGAGTTGAGCTGTCGCGTGCCAAATTCAGGTCCAATTCAGAATCCAAAACGTACAGCTAGGGAATGTCAGAGGGTTGCAACAACTCCCCATCTGCAGAGATCTTCTAAGAATCTATATCCGAAACCTAGAAATATGATGAAACATGTCTTGGATCTTATCTGAAGCGATCAGATAAATCGAGGCTGTTTCGTAGGGTCCTTTGGGACTATGGGGCGCTTTCATACTTTCACGCAATACAATTGGGGAAAAATATTTTTCCCCAATTACTAAACAATTGGGGAAAAATATTTTTCCCCAATTGTTTGGCTCTTGTAGGGTTTCGGATTTAAGGTCTA